AGGTACGTAGGTATTTCATTGGAAAAATCGGTACCCGCCTGCGGGATTCGAACACCGGTGCATTGCTCAACACGAATGCACCGGACGTCTTATCCTTTAGGCCGCGACGACTTCATGACTGATGTGAGCATCAAACGCATGATCCTCGGCTCAGAACCAGAGATGCTACTAACTACAGCGCCATCGGGACTCGAGAAGATTCGAGATCGAAGTCTCAACTATATTTTAAAACAGTTGTCTCAACCCTCGAACCGGAATGTACGATTGCTTGGTGATCGGTGCGGTGGTGGTGCTGGTGTATACCATCAGCGTCCTGCTCATAGTGATTGCGCACATTAAAACTTGTAAGGTGTCGCGCGGAGGTCATTCCTGAGCACGCGTCGGGTCCAGCGCCGTGTGGGCACCGCGGGGAGTCCGGTCAGCACTTAACACCAGTTGTACGTCAGCGCGACTCTCCGTCGACAATATTACTCCTGTCTGAATGTGCAATGTACACGTGAATAGTAAAGTAGAGATGGAAGGAGTGAGCTGCGGCATGCGGCAGCGTGCGTGGCGCGTGTGGTGTGGAGACTCACGGGGGATACAGGGCTCCGAAGAAGGCGCGTCCCTCCGTCTCGCCGCTGTATACCTGGACATGGGACAGTGTGTGTTACATGTGGGCCACGTGTTGTGCGTGTGCTAGTTACATAATACGACCGAAGGAAGAATGATATCGCTCACTCTGAAAATTAAAGTTGACAGCAAATTCTTAGGACACCAAAAAAGTGATGCAAATTGCCGAATATCGAGTTTCACTTTTACGGTATACCTATTCTAATTTGGACACACTATAGTTATATCGACTGTATCATTTGCTTTATGTTATCTCGAAACGTGAAGCAAGTTGTGCAAATATTGTGAGGACAAACAGAAAACTGTGACAATTCATTGGAATTAATAATTTTCTTTGCTGGTCGAATGCTCAACGCCCGGTGTTACGAATGTGATTGAATGTAATTGTAATCGCCTGCTGTAAATTTGTAATTTATTTCGTAAAAACAAAACAATTTCAACCAATTTTATTCTACTTTTACTTTATTTTTGGAACGAAGTTCCATATGGGACCATGCGGAGGGGTACCCTAACCGGGAAAAAACGTCCGTAACGTAATATTTATATTAGTAATGTACACAGTGTACGACTTAACTTTGTAATAGCGTACAAAAAAGAACATATTTTTATTATATATTTTTTATAAATCATTGTGAATAAAATAAAGTTGATAACTTTGTAAAGTAGTTTTTTTTTATCAATAAAATATCATTATGAAAATTGTATACCCAAATAATTATTTTCTTTATACGTCGAATAGAACTTAAAATTAATATTTATATAATAAGGAACTTCGTTTCTATCCGGTGTCCCACGACACCACACATCTTTTTTTTTAATTTATAAAATTTTATTGTCACTGTCACAGAAGTAGAGACGGATTCGCAGCCCACCTGTTGTTAAACGAAAGGCTTATTTCAAAATAATATATTATTTCGCGGACGTGAACAGACGACAAGCTGAGAGCGCGTTACGGATACTCACCACAACGAAGATCAGACAGCAGGCAGCGAGGAGCAGCGAGGGCAGGGGCGACATGGCGACCGGCGTTCTGCTACACGAGTGAGGCTGTGCCGAGCCGCTGCGGACTATGGGCCGCATTTACATCACAAAAGTCTAACCTTGAAACACATGTGCCATTACGTACGATGTAGACCACGCTATGTGTACGACACGATGTACCCAAATTAATCGGGTCTTTTTTTTGTCGTAGTTGAGCAGATACCTTCTGTTCCGCGCGCAAACGGCGGGATCGCAACGCATCCACTAATTGTAACAATATCATTTTTTGGACATGTCTCCCGGCGAGGAAATGACTCCATAGAGCTCTTTGTGGTTCAGGGCAAAGTAGAAGGCACCAGACCGCGTGGAAGGTTGCCTATGCGATGGACCGACCAGATCAAGTCGGCAGTGGGCGGTTGTTTGCATGAGTGTACCAGGCACACCACAAATCGGGATGGGTGGCGATTGCTCGTGAGGCGCATAACATCTGCCCACAGAAATGATACTGGATGACAACCACGACCGCTCTGACAAAAGTGATACGACCTACAAGATACGATGATTATAAAAAGATTTCAAATCTAATCCGACATGTCAATCTGGAATTATTTGTGTAGTTAGTTCGAACGGGTCTGGAATCTATCTCTAACATTGTTCGTCTACCATCTTAATCAATGAAAGAGAAAAAAAGATCCCGCTGTTTGAGTTGGTAAATGCGAATGAAGCCCTGTGGCTGATTAAACGGAAACTGATAAACAAATTTCAGGTAAGCTACAATACAATGGTTTTATATCAGCGCAACCTCTGCTGCTTGTGTGGTCTATGGTCGCCAGTCGTAGCGCGGCTGACGCTCTAGTGACCTTGTGTCGCGTCTCTTCGAGTGTCCAATCGGTCCAAAGCAGGAATCGATATCACGCTCAATGTCGGCTGAATGTGCAAAGCCTTGAGCCGCGGCGACACCGTGTAGCGTGTCTCAACCGTCTCACAGATGTACGGCTGCGAGGTTCGTTCCGAGGTAATGTATTGTGAACTGACTACACAATGAAACTATTTCACCACACCCAGACCGTTATATTGTGCGCCGTAATAATAATAATATGATTACTTCTAATATCGCAATCTAACCTAATCCGAAATCTGAAATTCGACTTATTTTTTGTTATAATTTTTAGTCACCGTCCTTAACTAAAAAGTAATTATCGTGATATTTTCATCAATACATACGACAAACTGTAGATCGCGGTGTATGTCTATTGAAGAAAAATAATAAATAAAAATACAAAGGCGGCGCGGCGACCAAAGAACAGTAATGCAATACTATATAAGCCAGCGCCTTGGCTCTGCCCCTGGTATTACTGACGTCCATGTGCGACGGTAACCACTTATCATCAGGTGGGACGTATGATTGTTTGCCTACAAAGACAATAAATAAAAAGGTCAATGACTTTTAGAATTATTCTCTGTGTTTGTTTGTTTGCGTATGTGTCCGGAACTAAGGAGCCTGTTGAGTTGGGGACTTCGTGGTCCCTACAAACCCATTTATGATTAGTTTTTACGGGTAGACAGAGATTAGAGATATGCTTTAGCTTTCGTTTCATGAAACTGGAGGTAGAACACAGTTAAATTATTACCATTTAAATATATTTTTTATATATTTTTATTCTAGTAGATGTAGCTGGTTGTGTGGTGTAGCACGCCCCCCATCTCCTCCCGTGCGTGACGTAAAAGGCGATTAAGGAATCCTTCAGAGAACAGGCAGCAACCAGCGCTCTCCGAGTATTATAACAGCGTGCCGCAATCGCATGCCAAGCATGGCGATTATGGCAACCTCCCCCAACATGGCTGATAAAATATAAGCCGGCTCCTAATCTACGGCAACTCGAGGAAGAACTGAGAGCGAAACAAAGGTCAAAAGGTTTGCAAGATCTCAGTCTCTTGGGCAGAGCCAGTTAATGGAACTAAAGGCTGATGAGGGTACCATCATTTCTTCTGAATTTGAGTTTTTGAGAGAGCTCAAGAAATTCTCTGGACAGTTCCGATCCTTATATGAATAAACTGTTCTCAGGAGTCGCTACGATTCATATAGCGCGTACTCTACACTAGACTTTCATCGTCAAATTTACGCGATGAAAAGTCACTCGAATCGAAGTGTTTGTGCGACTACTTGTCACTATGTTAGTCCGATTATAAGACCGGGATTCGGAACCTATCCTTCTGCAGCTTCGCCTGAGACATAGAGATGTTATTTCTCCGAAAGTGTTCACCACTGCATTGGAAGATATTTTCAAAGTTCAAGGTTGGATAGAGCTAGGTATTAGCATCAACGGCGAGGACCTTAGTAAAATGCTCAATGACCTCAGTAGGGCTTCTGTCCAAGCGGGCCTTAGTGTGAAAAAAACGAAAATTAAGTCGAATGCGAGTTCTCGAATGGCGATCGCATGTCGGAAAGTGGACCGTGGGTAGATCTCCCACGAGCTGGACAGACGACCCGCTAAAAGCCACGGGAGCCCGCTGCATACAGGCTGCGCAGGACTGGTTATCGTGGCGAACCTTGGGAGAGTTCAATGTCCAGCAGTGAACGTCCATGGGCTGAAAAAAAAATGAAAAAACAATTGTAGACTAGCTCTCGTCCCTCTTCAGCACGAGCGCTCTCACGCGCGCTGTGTGCTCGCTGGCGTGTGGCAAGAGGAGCCGCGGCCAGGAAGGTATTTGTATTAATCTATATACTATATATAAATGATTTGCTGTTTGTTAGTTTCGCTAAAACTTGAGAACGGCTGGACCGATTTGGCTAATTTTGGACTTGAATTATTCGTGGAAGTCCAGGGAAGGTTTAAAAGGTGAGAAAATATAGAAAAGCTCAGAATTATATAAAAACAAACAATTTTGTTTTTGCTTTGATGTGTCTCCTTGACGTGTCTTTTATTTATCGATTGAGGCACCACGAAGTCTGCCGGGTCAGCTAGTATCTAATATAGACGTACTAAAGTTTAAAATCGTGCTTACTGTAATACTCACTCAATATGTTAAAGAGTTTAAAATAGAATAGAAATGCATTTCCATTCGCAAAAGAATGCTCGAGTCGATGCGTACAGAGCCGAGGGCACGGTTAGCAATAACTGTAAATAATTCAGGGGTCGTCTGCTCGTCACCAGAGCGAATTTATTGATATTTTCATAATTGACATCTCTACAACTTCCAAGACATAGTTTTAAAGGGCTGACCGATCAACACAACAATTATCCGAGTCGCCCCGCTCCCGCCCGCTCCCCTCGATAAGTCTGAGTCCACAGATCTCAAGTGGAAACAGTCAATTATATGAGATCGTCATTGTGCGTGTCGGTGTGTGTGACACGAGACTCGATAAGCGACGACAGATTTATATATGGTGACCAAACTGCTTGTGAATGGTTCGGGGGATGTTCTCACCCTCGGGGTGTGAGGGGAGCGCGAGGGGGCGGGGCGCGCGGGGCGCGCGGGGCAGGGCGCGGCACGGTAGTCGAACAGTAGCTCCGCGGTCCCTGTCCGGTGCGGACGTGCGGTGCCCTCGTCTGCTCCTTCGTTCCGAGCACAATAACATTATCGGTGAGTGCCTCGATACCCGCCGGACCGTCCTCACATTCCCTACAGTGAGTACTCAGTCACTCAGCTTAAGACGCACCTTTGTTTGTATAGAAGGAAAGGCGAAGTACACAGAGCGTTTCCGGTCGGTTTGTTTGCGCGAAATGGGTTTCCGTAGCCGACGAGCGCGGACCGACGTAATGCTGATAAGGATCTCGGCGCCGCGTGATGCGCGACCCCGTGTAGCCCCCTCGTCATCGGCGGGGCCGTCCGCTTGTCGACGGCGGCACGGGTGATCCTTCTGATCAATACCGATGCTACGACATGCTCATAAAGCCAACTTTTGCTGTTTTAGTAGAACACACCTCCTTACATCTTTTTATCACATCACTCACCATGTGTCTGTTGCGGTAAATATTGGAACGGTTGAGAATTTCACGTCCGTGGATCTCGCATTTGTTTCGAAATCTGTTTTGATTGTCGTTTTTATTTGTCCTGTACAAAGCGGCCTCCGAACACCGAGAGTGATCGCCGCCGGATCTTTGCATTTTGAATTTACTGTCTGTACTTATCTATAAAGAGCAGGGTAGCTGTGAGGATAGTTTCACCCAGAGGCCGGAGGAGGTTGTGACAGACCATTCACATTAGATGTTAAAGTTTCACAAAAATGCTTTAATGGTGTTTTATGAAGTAGTGTAGTGTAGTTTATGTTAGTAGTAGAAGAAGAAGAAGAAGAATAAAAGAATACTCTTTTCCTAATAAATCGTTTTGTTCTTGGATAGCGATGAATGAACTTATTATTTTTGAATCACTACAGCTCTGCGTGCAATGTTTTAGCTGCAATAAGCATTTCCAGGCCAGAACTTCAGTAAATTGTCGCTTTTTTTTTATCTGACATAAATGTACACATAGAAAGTACTTGCGAATACGATCTCTTGCCTCCGCGGGTGCAGCGGCGATTAGATCGAGTTGTGTCTCCCGGAACCACTCGTCCTGGCGGTTTGCTGGTCTATCGATATAATTACTCATAACAAATGGGAATGCAGTCCACTTGATGACAAGAGGTCAACTTAGAATTAGAATAGGATTTACAGTTTGAAGATCGACACAATGTCTTAAGACTGGCGCTACCGCTGCAGCGCTGGGAAGCGGGAGGCGGGACCCTTCCGCTGATGGCACGTGAAGGACGTGATAGTAGACGGCGGACGATCAATTTCCGTTTCCGGTAACTTTATACCAACTCTTCAAATATTAAGCGAGAGAACTTCAGTATCGGACACATTGTTTCTTTTGAATTTATTACAAAGTTAGAGAAGTCGCTGCTGACGTTAACGTTAAGGTTAGAGACACCTTGGCGGCTCAGTCTCTCTGCTCGTACTTTGGCTTTGACAGCCTGGTACAATTCGCCTGTCTGTGTGCCGCGTGCTGTAGATCGCATTGTTAGTCGACTCCATATTGTATCAATCATTTATAATGAACATAATACGGATTGGCTTAGAAAAAAGAAAAACAACGTACATTCACGGAAGTCGTGGTGGCTCCGTGCACAGGACGGCCGGTATACTTGATTCGACAATTGTCCTAATGAAATACGTCCTTACTTAGCCTTGTGCTCACGGACGACTGTGTGATACACAACACAACTAGCTGGAGTATTGCTCTGACAGTTCGGAGTAATGTCCACGGCACTAGCGCTGACCTCCAACACTACAACGACATCCCTTTGTTTGTGAGAGAATATTTAGAGGTGCCAAGCTTGGCCACGGCTCCGATATGAAATCCGATGGATCGATGCTCGTTACAAGTCAGTTGCAAGCTCACAGACCAGAGCGTTTGTCGTGGTTGTGAGGTCGTGAGGTCGCTACTGATCCTCGTTAGTATAATATATGACCAAGCACCGATGGACATTGTGTACATCGGTCAACGAGTTCATAGTCCGTTTGGTATGAAGTGGCTTATGGAGCATATGGACACCACAACTGACATGTCGCCACACAGCTTGAGACACGAGATCGAAGTTTCAATTATATTGATTAGACTGACGTTGCTTATAATGGACTGACTGACAGAGCGGTTATCACATAACCGTCTTCGCCAATGTCATTAACAACGACAACCGCCAACCGTTACCAATTGATATATGGTACAAGCGGCTACACAGCTCGTGGAGCGTGTGCTCGGCAGGCGGGCGCGATGCTGTAGATTAGATTTTATCAAGAAATAATGTCGTTGACATTTTGAATTGGACTTGCGTCCAAATGAAAAGACCGCGTGATCGACGATTATTTTTAAAAAGTAACTTCCTGCCGCCGAGGGTATGCGCTCCCGGCAGTCTGGCAGGACGTGGCGTGGCAGGAACGATCCCAGCAGCGGGCAGGACTGATCTCGGAGGTGGTCACGCCGCCGCGCCGCCTGTGTCGGCTTGTCACCGGACGTGACGCTCTTACGCCTTACTCTCCAACGAACGGACACTAACTAATATTGAACTAATAGTGAAACACTTCACCTCACTTTACAGTTTTATATCCGCACCCGCTACTACTGAGAGTATAAGATTACTCCACATTTCATTCGGAATATAATTGCTGTTGACTCTCTTATTTTTACAAAGACAATACGATACAACATTAACCACATCAACAATTATTAACAGTCATTAATTTGTCAACCAGGTAAAGTCATAATGACTTACTTAAATCATTTTGGGCTACTGATCCAATATAAATAATACTAAAATGTTAAGCTGTTGATTAGAGATTTTATTCTGCATTTATTAATTTATTTTACAATAACTATGTTTCTCGATAGTTACAAGGTAATCGCTTCAGGATCACAAAGCGTTATTACAGCTGAAACAGCAGCAGCGACAGTATGAGTGGGCGCCGACATACACATACCAATTTTCAAGTCATCGCCCGAGGTTCGTAAAACAATATGCTTGGGAGTTATCACATCATCACGTAGAAGAAGCATTAGATCTGGAATTGCGGAAAAACAAAAACCTAACCGCGGCCTCGATATAACATATCGAAATTATTAAAGCACGATAACACACAGGTGCCAACCCTGCGCGATCCCTCCGACCACTCCTAATGAAGACGTGACCACGCGCCCGTCGCCTCCTCCGTGGACTCCTCGCACATTTACTGTCAACGACTATTAATATTATTTGTGTTGTTTCTACCTGCTGTACGTGGGCATTGTGTTAGGTGATTAAGTATATTCATTGATTAACTTCGTTTTACTTATTGCGAGGAATGTTCTGCTCGTTGCGGTCAGACGCTCAACGACCCTGTACCGAGACGCGGTTGGTTGCTAATCTATCTTTGGCCACGACAGATAAAATACATTTTACGTAGATAATATGTATTTTATATTTAGTTCGCACGCCGCATATACAACTGTTGAAAATTTTTGAATATAATAATAGAAGGTCTGTAGGCCCCGCGTTGCAGTGGCTCCACTAACACCAGGCGGGCCGCCAGCTCGTTCACTCAACGAAACGAAGGAACAAAACAGGCTGAGAAACTGAGAGAACATAATGCAGCAGGGCTTAGTTCTTACAATAGTTAGCACCCTCCTATTGTTGTTCGGCGGCGAGACAGACACGCGGCGCGGCTACCACACTACTACCGGTACTCTACGAGCAGAGCACGTGCGTGCGTGTCGTGCCGGACGTGCACGTGTACGAGTCACGTGCACTGTGCCAGAATTAGTTGAGATGTTGACTTCAGTTAGAGGTTAAGACAAGTTTGCGGCCCACATTTATCTTGTGGTTATTGAGAAAAAACCAAGAACCGGCTACTTCACGCCCCTAAGCTTCCTCGGTGTGGAGGCGCGTCAGTCGGCACGTGTCGACCGCTCTCGAGCCGCTCCGCGCTGAGTGCGCTCCTGACCTACTGTTCACTCACTCTCTCGCGTACTCACACTTGTAGTCGCAACTGTTAATTCATGATTATTCCTAAATTGCTCAAATCTAAATATATGTATGTAGTATGTATGTATGTATGTAGTATGTATGTACATCAACGAACAAATTTAAACGAACGTAAAATAATAAAAATAGCTTAAAACAAGCGTGCGCTGATGTTTAACTTAATTTGAGTCGCTTCAGCTCTATTTTTGAAGTAAGCACTAAATATAACGCCTCAATTATAATAACCTATGCTCATATAACGAGTATTGTTGTGTGTGACACACTTCAAAATATTATTCGGCGAAGAAGAAGCCAGTGGGAGAACAGTCAGAGAAATTTGTAAATGTTATAAATAAGAAACATTAGAAAAGTTTCCGCACAAAATATATTATATGTGTGGGGAACACGAATTTGTAAAAGTAAAGCGATAAATTCTTTACACTCCCCCCTCTCCACCGCACCTCCCCCCGTGCCCTCGCCGTAGGGTTGGCACATGAGCGAGCCAAAGAGTCATTATCGGAATTGAGGGACAGATAGTAGACTATGTTACCAGCGCACCCCCACTCACTGTGTACAACACTCGAGTCCTGGACAGAGCGCTGTCCTACAATAGCTCTTAAATCATAGCTCAATAGTTAATAAAATGGATTTACAGATTTTGATGTGAATAGGCACATATAAAATATGTACCGCCTGTGTGTCTGTGTGTCAACCAATTTTGTAATCTTGTTTTGTTTTGTTTAGTAGCTGTTAATGTTGGTAACGGACCACTGGTGTTCCTATGTCAACAAAGACTAAAACATTTAGTGCTATATTCTCCTGTTCGGCAACCGGCGTTGTAGCGCATGTAGTCGTGCAACACGTCACAATTAAACAAACGATGAAAGATGAAGTTCGGTAATCGGACGGGCATTAGAGGATTTTTTCCTCTACCTAATCGTTGGTAGCCGAAGGGGCTATTCCAAATTCTAACGGACCGGTAGGCACTGGCAGCCTGACCAGAACGGTGCTTCGCTGAATCTACAACCGAATCGGAATCGCCACCCTTTGAGAAAATCCGGCGAGACATTCAGTAGGTTTAATCTATGGGTGAATTCTCTGATCGAAC